GGGAAAAGCAGGCTTCCCGTGGAGCAGGGAGCCTGATGTGGGGCTCGATCCCAGGACCCTGGGATCATGACCTGAGCCGAAGGCAGACTGAACCACCCAGTTTAATGACTGAGCCACCCAGGTGCCCCAATCTAATGTATGCTTAAATCAGTGGGTTGGAGGGGCATAGGTATGGAAGTTGGGAGACCGGGTAGGATATCCTACTGTAATAGTGCAGGTGAGAGGTGATGGTAAGTTGGACTGGGGGGTGGCAGAGAAGTGGAATTGAATAGATTTGAGATTGCTTTTGGAGGTAAAATGGGCTAAACTTGGTGTGATGAGTTCGATGTGGTATAGGGAGAATAGGTGTCTAGGATAATTTCCACATTTCTGGTTTGTACAACTTGGAAGAATGAATATAGGGGAGAAAGATCAAGATTTTAGTTTGGAATGGATTAGGTTTGAGACTTTAATGGAGACCTCATGTAAGTAAATGTATCAGCTTGGCGTTTAGAACATACGTCTTGGATGGGCATCTAAATTGGGAGTCATTTACATATAGATATTTAAAGCTGTCACCAGTAGGTGAGATCTAGAGAGACGGCAGAGTGTGAAGAGATGTGGTATCCTGATGGTGTCTTGGGTTAGAATGAGGGCCTTAGGGATAAAGAGAAGTGGATGGATTCTAAACATTTTTAAAAGATGGATCCAGTAGGTCTTGGAGATTGTTTTGATGTGGGAGGTGTGCAGTAGGGTTTTAGTCAAAGATGAAATGCAGGTTTATTCTTTTGGCTATTGGATAAATGATTCTACTTTTTGCTGAGATAGGGAACAAAACTGGAGGGAGAAGATTGTTTTTTTGAAATTTATACCTTTAATTTTTGTGTAGGAAATAATTCCTTTATCATGAATATTATCTTTTCATTTGCAGTATTTTTCTAGGTAACAGAGTTTCGGTTTTTAAAAGTTTATAAAATATTTATGACATACAGAAAAACATAGGTAATATTATAATATCAACTGTATGCCCATTGCCCATATTGCATAATGCTAACATTTTATTAATAATTCTGTTTGATATTTTTAAAGGAAATAAATGTTTCGATTAGAGTTGAAACAGCCTTCCTCCATCCCATAACCTCTTCCTTTTCCCAAGGATTCAGCACTCCCTTGAAATTAGTGTGGATCCATTATGTCCTGTTTTAACACTTTTATATATTCATATATATGTATTGTTTTGAATGTTTTAAAATGTTACATAAGTAATGACATACTGTGAATTTCTTTTTGCAACTTGCTTGCTTCATTCTTTGTTATATTTTTGAGATTTATATGTTTGGAAAATGTAGTTCTAGTTCATTCATTTTTACTGCCTCTAAATACACCACTATTTTTTTCTTTCTTTTTTTTTTTAAGATTTTATTTATTTATTTGAGAGAGAGAGAGTGCATGACAGGGGTGGGAGGGCAGAGGGGGAGGGAGAAGCAGCCTCCCTCAGCAGGGAGTCTGATACAGGGCTTGATCCCAGGACCCTGGGATCATGACCTGAGCTGAAAGCAGACTCTTAACTGACTGAGCCACCCAGGCATCCCTATTTATTTATTTCTATATAAATATACAGGATGGAGTTTATATTTTACAAACAGCTCTGTTTAAGTGTCCTTAACCTGTAAGAAGTAGTAGTAGCAGGTTGCTACCAAATTATTGTCCCAAGTTACCGTGCCTATTTACGTTCCCATCAGCAACATCCTGGAGTTGTCTTTCCCCCATAATATGACAGCTATCTCACTGATGTTGTAGTTTGCATTTTTTGCCTTTGAGTGTTAAATCCATTAAGATGATTCTGAGTTTAGACAGTAATGATAAGACCATATTTTTAAGCGAACCAGGATAGTAATCTATAGGTGCATACCCAAGACTTTGAGCAAACAGACCAGTTTCTTTTATATCAAATTTGAATGTTGAAAGTATATGAGATGACAACCCTGTGTCCAGGAGTTAAGTTTCAATTCTCTAGAATTCTAGGGTTCTTTGTTAAACAATATAAGCATGATAGTAGAACTTTCTGGCTTTCATCATATGCTGAGATAAGAGAATTCCAGCAAGTTTTTGTTAACAGTTGACCAGTGGTGGGGAATCTGTTAATGATTGCATTAGAATTCATTTCTTTCAAGGCTGTGTATATCTGCCTCAGGAACTGCTGGCACTGAGATGGGTGAAGGCAGGTGTCTTGCTCCTTTTTCAGAGTAGAGGCTTGGTCCCATACAAAAAGCTTCCACATTCAGAAATGATGGTCAGAAGAAAGGTCTACTGAATCTTTTCTTTTTTTTTAGGTTATTTTAATTCCAGCTAGTTAACATAGTGTTATATTAGTTTCAGGTGTACAATATAGTGATTCAACACTTCCATACATCTTGAGCCATCTCCAAAAAAGGGAAAATGTGATGTATCTTCACAGTGGCCTGCTGAGCACTGAAGGAGATAGTGAACCTGCATCATATAGTTCCAGAACTAGGAAGTGCAAGATCAAGGCTCTGGCAGATTCATTGTCTATTGGAAGCCCACTTTCTGGTTCATAGACAGCCATCTTTTTGCTGTGTCATCAATGTTGGAAGGGCCTCTTTTTAATTTTTTTAAAGTGTACAGTTATTTTTAGAATATTTGAAGAGTTATGCTACCATCATCACAACCAATTTTAGAGTATTTTCATTATCCCAATAAGAAACCCCCTACTTATTAGATATCTCTCCTCATTAACCTCCCACCCCACCTATCTCCCCTCAGCCCTAGGCAACTATCAGTCTATTTTCTGGCTATAGATTAGCTTATTCTGGACTTTTCATATAAATGGAATCATACATAGTGTGTGTGAAGTGTCTGGCTTCTCTCACTTAGCATGATATTTTCAAGGTTCATCCATGTTGCAGCATGTATCAGAATTTTATTCCTTTTTATAACTGAATAATCCATTATATAGATATACCACATTTTCCTTTTTTTCCATCAGTTGATGGACATGTGGGTTTCCACTTTTTGGCTATTATGACTAATGCTGCTGTGAACACTCATGTTTAAGTTTTGTTTGGATATATACTTTCATTTCTTTTTGGTGTATATGAAGGAGTGGAATTGCTGGGTCATATGGTAGCTCTTTGTTTAACTTTGAGGAATTTTTAAGACCGTTTTCCAATATGACTGCACCATTTTACATTCTCACCAATAACGTACGAGGGTTCCAGTTCCTTCACGTCATTGACAACATTTGTTGTCTGTCTTTCTGATTCTTGCCATCCTAGTGGGTGTGAAGTGACACCTCATTGTGGTTTTGACTTGCATGTCCCTGATGGCTAGTTGAATTCAGTTTGGACATGTTTATTTTGTGCTAGCTGAAAGCATACAGGTGAGGATATTCAGTAGGAAGTTTGGACTTGAGTTTGGAGCTTAGGAGAAAGAGCTGAGCAATTGTAGGTTGGGATCAGTTAGCATATACACGGTAATTTAGCCATTGAGTGGAGGGAAGTAAGCAGAGAGAATGAGAAGATGTGAAGGGAAGTGACTTAAGCCCAAATCCTGAGGAACATTAGTAGTTAAATGACAGTAAAGGAAGCAGAGCCTGCAAAGGATGTTGAGAAAATGTGGCCAGAGAGTGAGGTGGAAAACCAAGAGAATGTGGTGTCTTGGAGTCCAAAGAAAGATTATTTTAAATTGGAAGAAAGGGCCTGTCGTATAAAATGCTGTTGAGAGACTCAATAAAATTAGGACTGAAAGTGACCTTCAGATGTAGTAGGGGGATGCTGGCGGAGGCCAGATTGAAGTAAATTGAGGAGTGATTGGGAAATAAAGAGGGCTCAGCAGGTGTAGACAAAGTGTTAAAGAATTTTGTGAAAGGGAGGCACTTAGTGGGTGTGGTCAAGAGCAACTCCATTTCAGATGAGATTCGAGATTTTAAAAATATTAGAGGGATTTCAGCACAGCAGTGTCCAAAGAAGGCAGAAGGCAATGAGATCCTGAGTCTGCCTTTGTAATGGGGGGGGAAGGAGAGACTTGTGTGTCTTGAGGGCAGGAGGTTGGTGTTTCCTTCTGCTGTCTTCTATTTTTCCTGTGAAGTTAGAGACCGAGGCTGTCTGCACAGAATCATGTAGGAGGTGAGGTGTTCAAAATAAAGAATGGAGAAGGTTTGAAATATAGGCACTGTGGAGAGTAGGAGACAGAGAAAGAACCATGAAAATAAAAAACACTTTCTGGACTGCATTGAGAATCTGGTAGAGGTTCCCTGAATTTACAATAGTACAACTTTTTCTGGTGTGTTTTCTCCATTGGTATCGAGCAGTGTGGCATTGGGGTTAGTGCTAATAATGCAGGGCTGGGGTCTTTTAGCCCAAGTGAAGGACAGGGAGGGGAGGGGGTGGAGAGTATAGGGAAAAGAACAGACGGTGAAGTTGAAGTGGAGCATGGAATTGAAGCTGGATAGGGGATTATTGCACATAGTACAGATGCATTTTGGACCCCAAATTCTCTAGAGTCCTCATAGTGGAATCTCACTATGGTGTCACGTCATTTTGTAACAAGATAGAATTTCTGTGCAAGCTTACTTGCTGTGGTAGTCTAGCTGTTACTGTAATCCAGATTTTACTTATACACATGTAGTCCTAAACACCATTTGATTAAGCTAAAACCTCAGTAAATAAAACGTAATTTGTAGAATTTGTGAATGTATTTTCTGAAAACACTTGAATCTGACATTTTAATACAGTGTGAAACTGCAGCACAACAGGAGTTTGCTGAAGAACTTCAAAAGCGGGAATGTTTTTTAGTTGAAAGAGAACAACTACTTTTCAGACATGAAACTGCTTTGAGTAAAATTAAAGGTGTCGAAGAAGAGGTTCTTACAAGATTTCAGATTATAAAGGAGGTAACTATATAGCTTTTGATTTCAGAGTAATGTGATTTCTGTTTTTCTTAATTTAGATTCACTAGTTATTAGCATTTTGCCACATTTGCTTAATTTCTTCTCTACTCCCCCTTCCCCCCACATAGTTTTACGGGGACCATTTGAAACTAACTTGCAAAAATCATGACTCAGCACCCCTAAATACTTCTTTAGTATTATCAGTGCTTAATTTTAGAACTTTGTGTCTCCTAAGCATAAGGATATTTGCCACATCGTTATCATATTAGGAAATTAATGCTAATTGAATAATTTAACTTAATATACTGTCTGCATTCACTTTCCAAACTGGGTCTTAAGATTTTTTTTTTTAAGATTTTATTTATTTATTTGAGAGAGAGAAAGTGTGCGTGCCAAGTGTGAGCGGGAGAGGGAGAGGCAGAGACTCTCAAGCTGACTCCCTGCTGAGCATGGAGCCTGCCATAGCGATTGAGGTGAAACTGAGAGTCAGATTCTTAACCGACTGAGACACCCAGGTGCCCCATTGTCCTGAAATCTTTTATTGCTTGTTTTATTTTCTGATCAAGTAACTAGATAGAATTCATGCATTATACTTGATATTTGTATCTTTTTATCTAGTGCAGTCAACCATTTTTTGTGAGACTTTTCTTTGAAGATTCCAGGCCAGCAGTTTTATGGAGTATGTCATATTCTGGATTTGCTTGATTGTTTCCTAAGGACTTTTTCAGGTTGAATATTTTTATCAAGGGCATTATCTAGATGGTAGGGTATACTTTGTTTCATATCAACAGATACATTACTATATGTGTAACTTACATAGAGTAAATTTCATTCTGTTTTGAAAAATGCATATAGTCTTATAATCACCACCATAATCCCAATAAAGAATAATTTTAGCACCCCAAAAATTACCTTATACTCCTTTGTAGTTATCCCTCCCTGCCCCTAGTACCCCCACACCCTGCTAGTAACCACTGACCTATTTTCTGTCCCTGTACTTCTGCCTTTTCCCAGAATGTCATATAAATAGAATCATGATTTTTTTTTTTTTTTGGTCTGGTTTTCAGCAGCCATTTAATTATGAGGTATCTCCACATGCTTTTCTTTGAGTTTATCCTGTTTGGGGTTCATTGAACATCTTGGCTTTGTAAATTAATGTCTTTCATCAAATTTGGGACGTTTTCAACCAATATTTCTTCACTTATTTTTTATGTTTCAGTGCTTTCTCCTCCTTCTGTGTCTCCAGTGATTCATATGTTAGGTCTTTTGCTGTTATACCACAGACTGCTGAGGCTTTGCTCCTTTTTCCTCATCTGTTTCTTCTGTGTTCTTCAGATTTGATAATGTCTATTATCTACCATTAAGTTCATTGTTTCTTCTTTCATTTCCATGTTGCTACTGGGATCATCTAGTGAATTTTTTATTTCTGGTATTTTAATGTTCTAAAATTGCTAATTATGTTCTTTTAAAAATTATGTTTAATTTTCCTTATGAGAATTTTTATCTTTCCATTTGCATTCATTTGTATTTACCTCAGGGAACATAACGTAAAAATTCAGCATCTGGGTCATGTAAGGATTGGCATTTCTCTTGAGACTTAAGTCACATTTTTCTGGTTCTTTATATATTCAGTGACTTTTGAATTGTATTTGGGACCTTTTGGATATTGTACAGATTCTGGATCTGGTTATAAGCCTCTGGAGACTGTTTATTTTTTTAAGTAGTCAGCCCAGTTGAGTTGTTTATTTATAAATTAAAGTATAGTTGACATACATTATGTTAGTTTCAGATGTACAACATAGTGATTTGACATTTATATGCATTATGAAATGCTCACCATGTTAAATTAGTTACCATCTGTCACTGTATAATGCTGTTACAGTATTATTGACTATATTCTCTATGCTATACTTTACATCCCTGACTTTTTTTTTAACTGGAAATTTGTACCTTTTGACCACCTTCACCCGTTTTGCCCACCACCGCCCACCTCTCTCCCATGGTGGCAGCCACACCAGTTCTTTCTTTTATGAGTCTCTGTTTTGTTTGTTCATTTGTTTTGTTTTTAGATTTCATGTAAAAGTGAAGTCAGCAGTGATTGTCTTTCTCTGAATTATTTCACTTAGCATAATACCCTCAATGTTCCTTCATGTTGTCACAAATGGCAAAATTTCATTCTCTTTTACATCTGAGTAATATTTCACTGTGTATTTGTACCACATCTTTATCCATTTATCTATCAGTGAACACCTAGGTTTCCTCCATATCTTGGGTGTTGTAAATAATGCTACAGTGAACATAGGTGTGCATATATCTTTTGGAATTCGTGTTTTCGTTTTCTTTAGGTAAATGCCCAGAAGTGGAGTTGCAGGATCATATGGTAGTTCTATTTTTAATTTTTTGAGAAACCTCCATGTGTTTCCCAGAGTGACTGCACCGATTTATATTCCCACCAACAGTGCATGAGATTTCCCTTTCTCCACATCCTTGCCAACACTTGTTATTTCTTGTGTTTTTGATACAAGCCATTCTGACTGTTGTAAGGTGATATCTCGTGGTTTTGATTTGCATTTCCCTGATGATTAGTGAAGTTGAGCAATTTTTCATGTACCTTTTGGCCATCAGTATATCTTCCTTGGAAAAATATCTGTTCAGGTCCACTTCCCATTTTTTTTTTTTTTTTTTTTGCACTAGAAGCATTTTATTATAGACAAATGAGTTATAGCATTTTAAGGTGTACATTTGAATTTTAAACTAGTTTAAGAATATTACTGTGTAAAGTAGAAGCTAAAACACTGGAGTAGTAACGTTGATAAATAACTCTGTGTTTACCATAAATGGTCTGCACACACTGTGCAATGAACAGAACCGGGTCTGGTGGGTCCATCGATGCAGCCTGATGTTTCAAATCAATGGAGGCACTTCATGGTTATCTTCAAAGTTGGGATCTTCCTCACTTGCTGTAATTTTGGGTTCAGACTGAACTCTTCAGAGCCTGTGTTTTTTCTCTTGAACTATGTTAGCCACATCAGGGAAGGAATGCTTGCTAGGATCTACTTCTAGTTTCTCAATTTGCTTGCTGCTTTGGTTTGTGTCCTCTCTGCTGCTGTCCAAGGTACTTTCCCCAGGCTTTTTTTTTTTTTTCTTCCCATTTTTTAATTGGATTCTTTATTTTGTTGTTGAGTTGTATGAGTTCTTTATATATTTTGAATATTAACTAGTATCCAAATATATTTTGGATATATCATTTGCAAATATTTTCTCCTATTCAGTAGGCTGCTTTTTTGCTTTATTGATGGTTTCCTTCACTGTGCAAAAACTTTTTAGTTTGTTGTAGATCGAATTGTGGTTTTTTTTCTCCAATTGTTTATTTTTGTTTTTGTTGTCCTTGCCTGAAGAGACAGTCCAAAAATATATTTCTAAGACTGATGTCCAGGAGTTTATTACCATTGTTTTATTTTAGGAGTTTTATGGTTTCAGGTCTTAGATTTAGGTCTTTAATTCATTCTGAGTTTATTTTTGTATATAGTATGAGAAAGTGGTCCAGTTTCTTTAGTATGTAGCTGTTCAGTTTTTTCAGCACCATTTATTCAAGAGACTGTCTTTTCCCCATTGTATAATGTTTCCCCCTTTGTAGTAGATGACTTTACCATATAAGCATGAGTTTATTTCTGGGCTCTCTGTTCTGTTCTGTTGATCTCCACGTTAGTTTTTGTGCCAGCACTATACTGTTTTGATAACTATAGCTTTGTGGTTAAGTTGGAAATCTGGGAGTATGATACCTCCAGGTTTGTTCTTCTTTCTCAAGGTTGCTTTGGCTATTTGGGGTCTTTTGTGGTTCAAACAAATTTTAGTATTCTTTGTTCTAATTAAGTGAAAAATGCTGTTGGCATTTTTGGTAAGGATTGCATTGAATCTGTAGATTACTTCAGGTAGTATGGAAATTTTAACAGTATTATTTGTTCTAATCCATGAGCATGGTATATCTTCCCATTTATTTGTGACGTCTTCAGTTTCTTTCATTAATGCCTTACAGTTTTCAGAATACAGGTGTTTCACCTCTGTGGTTAAATTACTTCCTAGGTATTTTTATTGGTTTTAATGCAATTGTAAATGAGATTGTTTTCTTAATTTCTCTTTCTGCTACTTTGGTATTAGTATAGAAACAACTGATTTCTGTATATTAATTTTGTATTCTGCAACTTTACTGAATTCACATATTAGTTCTAATAGTTTTTGGTGAATTCTTTAGGGTTGACTATACATAATATGTTGTCATTTGCAAATAGTGACAAGTTTTACTTCTTCCTTCCCAACTTGGATGCCTTTTCTTTTTCCTCTCTAATTGCTTTGGTTAGGTCTTCCAATGCTATGTTGAATAAAAGTGGTGAAAGTAGGCATTCTAGTCTTGTTTCTAATCTTAGAATAAAAGCTTGCAGCATTTCACCATTGAGTATGATGTTAGCTGTAGCTTTCTCGTATATGGCCTTTATTATGTTGAAGTATGTGCCCTCTATACTCACTTTGTTAATAGTTTTAATCATGAATGGATGTTGCCTTTTGACAAATGTTTTTTCTGCATCTGTTGAGATGGTCATATGACTTTTATCCTTCATTTTGTTAATGTGCCATATCACATTGATTTGCGAATATTGAACCATTCTTGCATCCCTGGAATATATCAGGGTCACGCTTGCCTCACCTCACAGAATGAATTTGTCCTTCCTCTTTTTTTTTTTTTTTAAAGATTTTATTTATTTGAGAGAGAAAGAATGAGACAGAGAGAGCATGAGAGGGGGGAGTGTCAGTGGAAGAAGCAGACTCCCCGCTGAGCAGGGAGCCCGATGTGGGACTTGATCCCAGGACTCCAGGATCATGCCCTGAGCCAAAGGCAGTCGCTTAACCAACTGAGCCACCCAGGTGCCCCATTTGTCCTTCCTCTTAAATAATTTTGTAATAGTTGGGAGAAGGATAGGTATGAACTCTTCTTTGAATGTTTGATA